TTGTCGAGAAATAAGCGGCACTTCGACTTCGCAGAGGCACTGGTATGTATATATATATATATCGGACGAACGGTATGCGTACTATAGCGGACGCCGTCGTTTACGTGTACCCCCAGTTTAGTGTGTATGGTAGCAATCGTTACTTGCCTGAAGCACAAAGACTTGCCGCTGCGGGCGTTGTCAGCAACCAGCAGCTTGTTACACACGAATTCTCTCTCTGTTGGGTCCCAGAGGCCCCGTCTCTCACCCAGAGAGCCTCGCACAGTTCTAGACATCATGAGTGACGCTGCCTGTGGAGGAGTTTGGTAGATATGCCAACATACCAGACTCTGAGTGTTGTACAGGATCGCGGCACAGTGTACCAGTGACCGAGAGTGCAAACAGGCCTCATTCTCTCCTTCATCTCCTCATCATCAGCACCATCCTGACGCTCTTGTGGCCTGCCTCTACATGACTGAGCAGACGAGATGACGGCAGTGTCTCAGAGCATGGAGCACTGCAGCAGCTGTTCCCACTGGTGCAGTGGACTTTCTTGGTTGGTTGACACTCACTCTCCCTCACATGTACACTTTTCCGGTCCCGTGCCGGAGATTCCGCTACAACAGATCTACGAGTCAGAGATGACAACGAGGGCCACATGAGCTGGCCCTGACAAATGCTGCTGTGCACGGCTGGCAGTGCAAGACGTGCTCCTCGCTGCCCTGCTCGGAGTGGACCCTCCCACCATCGACACAGCACTCCACAGTCATGAAAAGAACCATCTGAGTCGTGGTCGTGGACGTTTGACGTCAGAAACACAGTGGAAGAAACAAACGAACATTAGACCACTGCCAGACTCCATCCGCTGAGATACTTCGGTCGTCGATGCTACGCAGCAGTCAGTGGCGCAGAGCAGTGGGGCCCAGCTCCCCTGCCGCAGTCTCTCCCCACACCTCAGCCGCGCCAGTCAGCTCAGCCAACTCCTGGAAGACGAGTAGCTCCACTCTGAGCCGCCAATCCGGGAGATCACATCATCCTCGAGAGAAGCCCATCACGCCAGGGAGCGGCAGAGCAGAAATGGGCTGGATTCCATGCTGCTGTCGCGTATCGGTGACGAGGGGTTTTGGTACATCTCATCAACCGTGCGCTCCCGGTCCCTGGACCCTCCTGCGACTGATACAGTCCTCGTGCTGGACTCTGGCGGCCAGCCCGAGCTTCTGGAGATGATGCCCTCTTCCTGAGGGCGCGCTCCAATTCGTATACGTCTTGAAGCTCCACGAGTCTCTTGACAAGCGACGACGATCCGTTACTTCAAAGACGGCAAGCTAGTGTGGGAGTACCCAGCCTACCTGACCAACGAAGGGACCTGAGACTGTGTGTGCGTACCATGAGGTCCCTGAACAACAAGAACCCCCGACATCCCTCCCACCAAATGATGTTTTTCTTGCCACCCACCGAGACTTGGTGGCAGAAAAGCAGCTGCCCGGAGTGCTGGACACTCTGCACAAGAGGCTGAGGGAGATCCTCTGCCTCATCAGGGAGCAGCTCATCTACTGCGATACGAAACAGGACGACTTTGTCTTCACACTGATGCGGCAAAGCCGAAAAGGACAGGAGTGTGCGAGAGCATTCGGAGTGTCTAGTAAGGAGGGGCAGGGGGGAAGGGAGGTGAAAGTGCCGTTGCGATGGTACGCTCTGTACCAGAAGCTGCTGGAGGTGGCAATGAACGGGGAAGAAGGTGCTGCCTCATGAGCTGTGCCAGAGGTGGCAGAGTCGATGGAGATGATGCGATTCGTGTGGGGAAGCCCTGACTTCTTGACGGTCTGAACATGCTGTTCTACTTCCCCGACATCCTGCCCAGCTTGTGTTCATGGAGCCACGATGTTGCTGGATAAGGTCTCGGAGCTGGTGGAGAGACCTACCACATGAGGCAGGGAAAGAAGGGCCAACCGTGCCGGGGGAGAAGCTGAGGTTCCGTGACCACTGCGAAGTGACGGAAAAGTTTCTGGGCGAGTTCGAGAGCCACTACGAGCCACCTCTGTTCACACCAGGAGCTGGTGACCCTGCTAAAGGGTTGCTGGTGTTTTTGCGGAGATGTCGGAGGACGGGTACTTCATAGCGTGTCTGCTGCAAGTGGTGGCGTGGAGTGGTGAGAACACCGAGTGAGTGGCAGGAAAGCCCTGGCTCTTACTTCCTTCCCCGCCAGCAGTCCCTGATGGGAACGTCTGCTCGCACTGTAGCTTACTCCTGTCAACCCGAAACGTCCCCACCCCTGCCCGTGAGATAGTGGCTCAGACGAAGAACGAGCCCGAAATGCCTCCACTACCATCGCAACGGCCATCAAGTTCTAAACACCGTTTCAGATTACGCAGGCGCCGTTTCGCTCATCGATCACTTCACTCACCCACGCTGGTTGAAAAAAATGAGAATGAGTTGATTTCCCCACTCCTTCTCCTCTCTCCCCCCCACGCTTGCCTTGTCTTTTTCCCCACCGACTTCCTTTGAAGAGAAGCTTGAGAAAGCACCTTTTTTGAATGAAAAAAAAAAGAGAGAACTTCTCTTGCACCCACCCCACCCAAAAATGCAGCTCAGCTGTGGAACCTGGCACACACGACGCAGTGTTTGCAGGTCTCAAGAAAGCAGGGAAGACCATCGCTACACAAACAACACTCCATCCCAGCCATCGTATGCCCCGCCCACCCCCCGCCCAGCAAACCCCACCCCGCCACTGTTGACAGGACAGAGTGTGGACTGCTCATTGACTCTGAAAGTTTGGAGACGTTGACGAGGACTCTATTCCATGGCTGACCCTCTGCACGTCTACCTGTGAGTGTGGAGGTCCCCCCACTGAGGGCTCTAATTGGAATAGTCTCATTATGCTTTCTCTTCCTTTCCCCCTACAGCTGCTGAGTCAGCCACTCCTCTCTCTCCTCTTCATCTCTGCAGTTCCCTCACCTCCCCAGCCTCCCCTCTCTGTCTCCACATCTCCTGCCTCCTCTACCACTGCCACCACTACTACCAACATTCCTGGTGAGTCCTTGCATCTCTGTGTGCCCTATTTTGATACTCATTCTTTCATTCATGTTCCTCTACAGTGTCAGAGTGTTCATAGTCTCCTCCACTACTGCCTCTGTTCCCCTCTCTCTCCCTGTCCTCTCCTCCTGTCTCCACTACCACTACCAACACTCCTGGTGAGTCCTCACTCTTTGTATGAAATTCAAGCCTTTATGCTTACTAGCTGCCATCACAGCATACTTTACTCTCTACAGTCAGCCATCTGTCCTCTACCTCCTCCACTACTGCCAGTGTCTCCACAGCTCCTCATCCTGTCTCCTCCAGTCCTTGCGGGTGCGTACTCTCTCTCGAGAGCCAGTTGCTGACTGTGCCTTCTGTCTCGCTCGCTCTCTCTACTCAGCTCATCAGAGTGTTCCTTGCCACCCTCCACTACTGTCCACAGCTGCTATCGCCTCTCTTCTCCTCCACTGCGAGCAGACCACTGCCTGTGAGCCTCGTATGAGAAACATCTTCCTACCACCACATGATGTGTTGGTAGTGCATCTATCCCCTGAATGTATTTACTGACTCTTACCTTTATTGTTGGCTCTCTCTGCCCCTATACCGCCTTAGTCAGGTGGAAGAAGGGGGTCTCTCTCCGACATCTGGACCCTATGGTAAAAAGGTGTAAGGTCAGGAAGGAGGGGGAAGAAAAGCGAGGGGCCCCATAAGCTTCGCGCAGCGTACTCGCCGGGAGCTCGTCAGGGCCCAGTGAACAGGGAGGAGAAGGGGGAGGTGAGGTGGGGTGCGGAGGTTGAAGAAAGGGAGGTGAATCAGGGAAGGTAAGGAGTGGGGAGAACGCTACTCAGATAAGAGGGACCTTGTGAGCGGGGGGGCTGCGGGAGTTAAGGGAGTAGGACGATGCGGTTAAACTGCCTACGCGTAGGGGATAGACTTCCGGGTTCGTAGATCTGCAAGCTTCTTCTCTGGAATTAGTCTTTCTAGGGAGGGGGAGGACGAGGGAGCAGGGAAGATAGGTCGGAGAGAGGACGGGGGCTTCATCTCGTCTTTTCCCCCTCCGGCTTCTTCTCTCGCAGGTGATGTAGTCTGTCGACCACTCTGCCAGCACTACTTCGTCTGGAAATCCCCGAGGAATTGCCACAATCTACACCACATTTGGAATCTTCCTCCTCAATGACGAGACGGGGATAAAGTGAACATCATCGAGGACAACACCCGCGGAATCCAAAGAGGATTTCTCGCAGCATTCTGGGGGAGTGGCTCAGAGGAAAGGGACTTTTCCCGTGACGTTGGAGACTCTGGTCATGCTCTCAGAGACAACCAAACTTTTTGCTCTCGCTGACAAAGTCCAGGCCGCAAAATTGTAACCACAACTTCTCATCTCTATACCACTTTCTTCTCATCTCTATACCACACCCACTTTCTTCTCATCTCTATACCGCACTCACTTTCTTCTCATCTCTGTGTTTTGTATACTGCAGTCACTTTTGAAATAATTATTGTTGTGATGTGCCCAAAGGCACGAATAACGATATTCATTACTGCTGTGGCTTGTCCACATGCATTCCACCACCAGGAGCTGTAGTATGCAGTATAGTGATTTAGTTGCATGCAGGGAATCATGCAACATACCTATAGTGTCATAGTCATGTGACCTAATCTTGTCTTGAGTCACTCTCCATTGACAAAACCAGGTCCCATAGTGATGTATGTACATAGGCTCAAACTGCATGGTACAACTTGCCTCTGGTTCAAAGCGATTGTCTTCAAAGCTTATACACATCATCCACACAGCCTTCGTGTGTATTATCTGCATTTACTATCTTGTGTTTTGCACTAATCTGGCATATTATGATCACTCAACACATACCAGTAATCAATGCAGTTACTTAGTAGTGTCAGACAGCTACATCTCAGGGCCCCTAAATCACGTATTTCCATTGATGAATGAACTTGCGTCTCAATAGCAAATATCATTACAGAGAGGGACACACATATAATTTGTGTCTGTAATTTCAACAGTGTGTGTGCGTGAGTGTTACTCTATTACCAGCTGAGGCGTGCTGACTTAACTAGTGGCTAGAGCTTGAATCATAGTACAGCAAATGGTGTGTTGAGGAGACAGAGAGAGGAGAGAGAAGGAGAGAGAGGAGAGGAAGAAGATTGTTAGCCACACTCAGACAGCCTTGTCAACACCTCATCTAGGAGATGGAGGGCAGTCCTGCATAATTATGGGGAAGACATGGTCGGAGAGAGATAGAAATTAATGATGGTTGGTAAACTACAGGTATACTAAAATCAATGCATTCACAAGCTAACACATTTAACTGTGTTAAAATCAAACAGAAATCACGCAATCCCGTGACAACACTCCCCCACCAGAGGTCAAGTGGTGACTCACGCTATAAGAGTCTTCCTGTTGTCCGACTGCCTGAGGGAATCCCCTCCCGTCTCCCTGATCGCCGCGGACGAGACCACGCCCTCTTCTCTCACGCAGACGGTGTTCTTCTTCCCAGAGAGTTCATCAGAGTTGTCTGTGCAGCCTGCAGGGGAGATAGTTTTGAACTGCTAGTGGCCAGTTTATACAGCAGAAACTCTGAAAAAAGGACTACTCCAATAAAGAACACCACTCTATAAGGACAATTGTCTAGCCCCTAACTACTTCCTGAGAGGGCTTGAGGGCTTTGTAATGCATGTGGGTGGATTTCATGGGTGAGCTGTCAAACCAACTGACACCAATTGATGCACATGGGTGGCAAGGGCAGTACAGGAAAATGGTGCTACAGTCACTTAGAATTAATTCTAGAAGAATTAAAGACATGAAATTAGTCTTGAGTGAGCTCTGATGTGTCACTCATACATGTACGTGGGCAGGTCCTACTAATGTATGTAGATATGTAGGAAATGACGGATCATTGAACATACGTATGTGTAGGGAGGTGACACATCAACATGTACTGAGTTCTTCCACCACTACTGGTGTGTCATGCCACATTAGAAACTCCACTCACCTGTGGAAGACCAATTTCTGAGAAGTCTTTGTCACTCATCAACAACAGAGCTTCCAGATCTATTTCATTGGACTGTGGAGGAAAACGCGCGGTCACAAACATTCAGTTGAGGCAGTTGGCTGAATCACTGACACAGCCAGGCAGGGCACTCTGTGTTCTAGAGAGGAACTGGCTGGGCTGAATCACTCATACAGAGCAAGGCAGAGCACTCTGTGTTCTAGAGAGGGCTCTACCAACTGAGGCAGCTCAGCTGGCTGGGCTGATCACTCATACAGAGCAAGGCAGAGCACTCTGTGTTCTAGAGAGGGCTCTACCAACTGAGGCAGCTCAGCTGGCTGGGCTGGATCACTCATACAGAGCAAGGCAGAGCACTCTGTGTTCTAGAGAAGGCTCTACCAACTGAGGCAGCTCAGCTGGAAGGGCTGAATACTCAGACACAGCAAGGCAGAGCACTCTGTGTTCTAGAGAGGGCTCTACCAACTGAGGCAGCTCAGCTGGCAGGGCTGAATCATTCATACAGAGGAAGGCAGAGCACTCTGTGTTCTAGAGAGGGCTCTACCAACTGAGGCAGCTCAGCTGGCTGGGCTGAATCACTCATACAGAGCAGGCAGAGCACTCTGTGTTCTAGAGAGGGCTCTACCAACTGAGGCAGCTCAGCTGGCTGGGCTGGATCACTCATACAGAGCAAGGCAGAGCACTCTGTGTTCTAGAGAGGGCTCTACCAACTGAGGCAGCTCAGCTGGCTGGGCTGGATCACTCATACAGAGCAAGGCAGAGCACTCTGTGTTCTAGAGAGGGCTCTACCAACTGAGGCAGCTCAGCTGGCTGGGCTGGATCACTCATACAGAGCAAGGCAGAGCACTCTGTGTTCTAGAGAGGGCTCTACCAACTGAGGCAGCTCAGCTGGCTGGGCTGGATCACTCATACAGAGCAAGGCAGAGCACTCTGTGTTCTAGAGAGGGCTCTACCAACTGAGGCAGCTCAGCTGGCTGGGCTGAATACTCAGACACAGCAAGGCAGAGCACTCTGTGTTCTAGAGAGGGCTCTACATTGTCAACTACAAACCTGAAAAAGCTCCATGTGTTCAGTAAGCCCAACCCTTGCGAGCAGGCTCTGCAGAGTGTCTTGTGATGTAATGGTGATGTCATTGGAATTGTGAGACTGTTGTGAGGTTTTCACAGAGTCTGGCCATCTGTTGGGGTCAGAGGTCACTGAAGCTCCGCCCACCTGTTGCGACCAATCGGATTCTTCATGAGATCCTGAAGTGGAAGAAGACCACATTGAAAACACTGGAACACATTCACAGAGTAAAGCTAGGTTCAAGGTTCAAGAACATCGCATTGTCCGCGGATGTGAGGACATAACCCATTTCCTTCTATGCCGGCAACAGGGCGATGCGACGTATTGCATAACACAGCGTAAGCGATGTTTGACAGAAAGGCAGTCTATGAGTAATTCGTGGACAGTGTGTCAACTCAAGGCAAGTGTATACTTCCAAGACACCCAACAAAACAGAACGCATGAAGTAAGCACACAGTACAGGTGGTGGGTATGTTGGTGTAGACTGTGATACTCACCAGTGCTGCCAGAGTAGCTCCACACACTGGACGGATTGATACCTGTACAAAGAGAGAGAGAGATTATGGAGGGAAATTTAGTGCAATAATATGTGCCAGTTCTACTAGAGGAGGGAAATTTCAGAGAAACTACTAATGTGCCAGTACTACTAGAACAAAAGCAACACTTTCTGCTTTACCATGAGGACATTACGATACAGCTGGCAGTGTTGGATAGATAATAATAATATAAGGAAAAATCCTCATGACCATGTGTAATTATATGAATATTATTTTTGCTTCGCCGGCCAGTAAACTACAACCTTGTCAGACTGACCTGGAGCTAGCATAGGAAAACTGGATCCAGAGTCAGTGGAGACGGATGTTGAGCCACTCCCACTTGCCACACCCCCTAGCCCCGCCCCCTTGTGAGCCCTCTCTGTCCCAATGGGGAGGAGACTCTCGTTGGCTCCGCCCAGCTGTTCCTGTGGGGCGGAGCCTGTTGTAGTAGGCGGGGCACTCGGGAAGACGGACGGTCGGACCATCATGATAGCTGCGGGGTAGGAGGTCGTTGTCATGGGAACAGTAGAGGGAGGGCCCGACGACCTGTCACTCATGGGGAGGAAAGTCGGGAACAGATCGAGGTTGCCCCCCGAGAAATTGCCAAGAATTGACCCTGACGAGGTGGGCGGGGCTGGTTCCGGTACCGGTCTCAGACCAGGCTGCGAGGGTTGCAGCCCCATTCCAAACACGTTTCCCGGCCGCACGAGTTGCGGGTGGGAGGGCATGGCTTCAAACGAACCCCCGGATTCGGTGGTGGTGATCATCATGGGGGGCAGGGGAATATTGGTTCCCCCTGTTGTTACCCCCAGAACGGGGTCCGCAGAGTCAGGATCCGATTTCCCAACTCTCATGAGGGGGACTCCGAATCTTGAAATTTCACTCGAACCCCCTGGTGGGGGGCCCCCTTGATTTAACATAGTTTGTTGGGAGATAGGGTTCGGTAGAAACTGACCTCCCTCCAGTGGACCTGGTAAAAATTCCTTTGTGCTCGTGAAATTTTGACTGGGTTGCCCGACAAAATTATGCTGGTGTTGGGGGTTTCCGGGGAAAATAATGCCAAAGGGGGGCATTGGTGGTTGTAGAACTCCATGTGCAGTTTGGGTTCCCTCGAATTGTCCAAACATTGGTTGTGATGGGGGCTTCGGGGGGAAACTTTGTTGACCGGGAGGAAGAGCTGGTGGGGGGTTGAAAATGTGGGGATTGATTGGCGGAGTGGGGGGCTGCCCCAATATTGATGTCTGGCCTCCGCTGGGGGGAGGCTGCGGCGGCTGCGAGGGGTGAATATTGGGCCCCACCATTCTCGGTCCCCCGCCAATTGGAGGGGCGGAACCCAATATCGAAGACCCGACAGGGGGCGGTGGGAAATTCGTCAGTTTTGAAATTGGAGGTGCTCCAAGTATAGAACTTGTGGGCGGAGGCTGGGGGGAAGACGGAAATATTTGAGTTTTCTGCTCATATTTTGGGCAGTGCTACAAGTCTTATAGAGAAACTGATTTCAGGTGTACAGAGAGTTTGAACATATTTGCCTAAGTTACTCCTCTCTACTGTCTCCACTTACATTGGCTGGTCTCTGCACTCCTGGAAGACCCATGGGTACAAAGGTCGGGGCATTGGGGTTGAACCCCTTTGAAGCAGGCGGGAGTTGAGGTGGGCTCTTATTGGGAGAGATCTTGTCAGGCGAGGTGTTGAGCGGTTGGACAGGACTGGCAGGTTTCTGAGCCTGTTTGGTGGGGTGGATGGGGGACTGGTGCATTCCTGGGGAAAACATAGACAAAGACAATAACATATAATACGAGTAAAATGTTGTGGCAATTAAAAAATTGGTGATTTGCAATGAATCGGTAGCAAAATGCGACAAACAATCTTTGCATCATTTGCACTTTTTATTTCGTCGTAAATGTTGTCATGTGATGCATGGTAAAATTTTTGTAGGATTAAAGTGAAACTGATATTATCAGCTTAAAATTGAAGGTAAAAAGGGAAGAGAGACAAGTGGAGAGAGACAATGAGTTCATTTCTGCCGACCTTGAGGGAGGAATGGAGGAGGGAATCCCGGGGGCGTGGCCAAGAGAGGGGGGCGGGGGTTACGAACAGGAGTCGGGGTGAGGGGGAGAACGTCAGGGACCCTCTCTGACGAGGCGAGGGAGAAGTCAGATTGAGAGGAGGAGCTCTGGGGTTGGATTGGTCTGAACCCCACGTTGCTGGTGTACACTGGGGGAGGGAGGGAGGGAGGGAGGTGTGTGTGGTCTAATTTCGACACATTTTGAACATGTACAGCAGAATCTAAGACTCTCCGTCTCTCCAATTCTTCTTACAACCCAAAATGGAATACATAGATATTATGTACATACATACACTTTACACTTTAGGCCTTCCTCAACATTTGCTAGTAGTATGATACAGAGAACAAGAGATTTGAATACTCACATTTCTCTGGGAGTTGGGGAGAAGCCCCCCAGGAGGGGCGGGGCCTAGCAGAGGACTCTTGGCAACCGGTGAAGGATCCGAACTCCGTTGCTGTGGCGACACGTTGACCACACCCCCTCCACTGGGGCTGGTTCTGGTTCCGCCTCGAGACCCGATGGGACTGAACCGACCCCCCGCCTCAGACCCCCTTCCTGGGGGTCCAATTTCACCTCTACCCCCAACAGACGATGTTGAAACCGATTTAGGGGGGCCCCCTACCATAGGGGGTTTGGGAATTTTACTCGGGGGGCCAATAGGCCCTAGAGACGAGGCGGTGGGAGGTAATCTGTCTTCTCCGTCATACGGCTGTCGATGGTGGTCGGAGATGTTTCTGTCTGAGTCCAGCCAGACGGCTCCGGAAAACCTGTCCGTCTGCTGAGACTGAGAGAACATACTAGCAGCCTGTGGGAAGAACGGTTGTGTTGACAGATGGTAAGATACATACACTACAGTACACTGGGTGTGTAATCTGCACAATATGCCAATAGTTAAGTGTCTCAAAGAGCTAAAAGTATAAGTAAAAATTAGTAGTTTGGAAAACTAGGAACTGTATCACTGATGATAAAAGATGCAAGAGACAATAATTTTCAGTGCTTAGTTTAAAATGGAAATAGTTAGAAGGTAAGGAGAAAAGTGTAACTAGGGTATATTGTACATGATGGATATACTCGTACCTGTGTCTGGTCGTCTGTCATGATGGGTCGCGACCCGGGAGCAAGATTGAGAGTGTGGACAATGGGAGGGTGGGGGAGGGAGGAAGGAAGAGAAGAGGGGAGGGAGAGGGTGGGAGTGAGAGAGGGAGGCAAACAGAGGGGCAGAGGAGGAGGAACGACAGACGGAGCACCAGCTGTGGCGAGACAGTTCCCAGAGAATGAAGTTTTCCCAGCGGAGTGAGCCACGGCTTCGTGCATCTTCTTCCCGACTGCGTCCGAGTACTTCTTCGGCTTCGTCAGTTGGATGGCGGGTTCCTGGAATATGGTCGGCGTCTTCATAATCTGCTGGAGTGGTTGCTCGATCGGCGATGATGTCACCGAAACCTGATTGGTCAGATGGCTCCCGATTGCACGAGAGTAGGTGTTTGTGGTAGGTACCGGTTCGGTCTTTGCGGACTTTGACCCGTAGTGGTCGGTATGGCTTGGCAGTGTTTTGTTCACGTTTGTCATTGTTGGACTGGGTGGTTGGATTGGCTTCCCTGGTTGTGGACCAACCACTGTGGCAACTGATGGTATCCGAGGGGGAGGTGGTACCATACTACCAACAGGCTGCACAAAACCACCAGTTGCGAAAGTCGACGAAGGCAAAGCTGTTGTTTGTGCCACCGAAACAACCGCAATGGTCTGTGTGGTACCACTGTGGATGGTTGTGGTAGTGAACAACCTACGAACGGGACCACTGGTTGGGGTCAAAGGCATCGAAAATCTGACCGTTGCGGCACTGCTGACAACACTAGCAGCCACTCTGGTCTGCGTGGTCGAGACCGCTCCTCCCACTACGGTCTTCAGATCAGTCAAAGCCAGCACAGATTGCGGTACACTGTGTCGTTTATCACCGAGGGGTTTCCCCATTCTCACTGAGGTAATAGGGAGAGATGTTGACGGTAGACGAACGTGTGACAACAACCGTCGAAACGGCAGTTGGAACGCTGCTCCTCTTTGGGAGGGCAGTTCTAGAGGTGGAGGGAGGAGGAAGGGAGGAAGAGGCGAGTGATAGAGAAGAGGAGAGGGGGACCCTGTGATCTCCGAGAAGTGACGAGTGAGGGAGGGCAGCACTGTTTGTGGTGACGGTGTGATCCTGGGGAGGTGGGGGAGGTCTGTGCCCGTGTGCTCCGGTGACCTGGTGCGATGACGGCTGTGGCAGGTGTCTTGGAAGAGCATTGGCAATGTTGTGGGATGGATCCTTCACTAGCAGCGAGATGATATGCTGGGCTTGTTTGATGGCCTCGGTGGACCCCCGGACTGACAGAGCTCGCGTGGAGGCTGTCTTGGATGTTCTCTCCACCTCTATGTGGGTGTTGGTGGCCTGTTTGATGAGGTTGAGGTTGGAGTTGTTCTTTCCAACCACTGCAGCAAACACAGAGCCCGGGACGACACCTTCTTTGTTCTGAGGGTAGAGAGAAAGATCGGAAATGTATGTATGAGCACATGCACACGTTAAATGTTTGTTTTCCTATTACAGTGCATCATTATAAAAAGATGCCAAGATTAAAGTGTTTCAAAGCGTTGTAGCATTGGCTGCATCTATGTATGTGAATAAAACTGATTAAGACTATAACAAATGTACCTCTTTCCCAACTTCTTTCCATCCGTCTTCTTTTTTAGACTTTCTCGGACTGGAAGTGGGTGTGGCCCCACCGGGTGAAGCCACACCCCCCGGAGACAGTGAAATGCTGGCCACACTGCCGGTGGAGGGAAGTCGGGCGACACGCGAGTGACCCCTGCTCCCCTCTCCCCCCGCCTTCTCCCTCTCCACAGGCGACTGTTTCTTCACCAGAGGGAGGACGAGGGGGAGTGGCTCTTTCGGTGGAATTCGATCGACCGGAGATAGCTCCTCGGGGATATCCCCATTTTCAGCCATTACATCATCGGCCGTGTCGTCTGCCTGGTCTCCCTCTGGAGGGGAATCCCCTCCGCCACACCCGGCTCCGCCTTTCTCCCCCACCTTGTCTCCTTTCTGTGCCCTGTGAGTGGGGATAAGAACGAAATTTCACGATGATACAACAAAAACCTATAAATAGAGAGCAGCGGATTCTTTTCCGTGTAGTGAGGGAGAATTCACGAAATTCCAAAAAATTTCAGTAAGTAGCCCGCAATGTGTATTACAGCGCCTCAGTGCTATTTTCTCTTGTTTTCTTTTCTTTTTCGCCTCATTACTTATTCATAGTACATTACATATGCCGGTCACGTCAAGAGGATTAATTAGTGATTGTTTGGAGCAGAGAGAGAGAGGAGAGAGAGAGAGAGAGAGTTTTAAGGGAGTGGATTGTGGCTTACTTGAGAGCCTGTTTCTTTTCCTTTTGCCTCTTCTTCTTTGCTCTCTTTCTGGCGGCTGCGGCCTTTTTGTCCTCCTCGTGTTTCTGAGGGGTTAAAAAGTGGGGGTTAAAAAGTGGCGGCCACACATCAGTAGCATCACTCTAGCATAATATATATGTCTCAACAACTTGGTAGCGAGGTAGAAAGGTAAGGGAAGGCAAACAAGTCAACTACACCCAGGACAGCTCTTTCTTAGAAGAAGAGCTGTCCTGGGTGGGATTCGAACCCACGACACTCTGCAGTCTAGGCGAGTACTCTACCAACTGAGCTACCAGGGCAACTCAGCTGGTAGGGGTTCGAATCTACAACACAACACAAGGCAAACCTCAAACCACTGTGCTATGGCACAGTATACTCTCACTCAGTATGTATGTGTATGTAAAATATATATATACATACACACATATATTATATATATGGCACAGAGCATACTGATTAAGTAAGTGTTTGATGTGCTGTATATACCACACCAAGGGGGAGGGCAGTATCACAATGGCAGCCGACACAGAAACTTGTGGCCAGTGATATATACCTGCAAACTACGAATACTCACTTTCTCCTGGTCAATCTCCTGGAGTAAGATGGTGGCATTCTTGTTGGCCTCGGCGGCCTGTCTCTCCTTGGCGTCAATGATCACCTCCATGCACCTCTGGCACTTCTTCAGGCTCTCCTGCAAGAACAGAGATTCCCACTCAACATTTGTGTAAAACTTGGGAGTTTCAGTAGAGAGAGATCGATTTCATTCAGGGTTGTACTTCTAAAACTTCTCAAATTTGATTCTCACCGACCGAGCAATGAACCATCACGCATTAACCCTTTAATAAAGTCTAGTGTATTTATATGACATACACACACACACACACACGTACAAATATAAATCTCACACACCTTGTCAGAGAGGGTGGACACGTATCTCTTGAGGTCTGCATCTGACGGGAACTGGCTGACATGGTCGACCAGGTACTTGACAACCTTGAAATGACCCTGTGATGGGGGAAACCAGAGTTACATCGTACGAATGAAGCACGAGGAAGAAGAGGTGAAAGAAGGAACAACGTAACAACAGAAACAAGTCCTGAATGGAGAGACTAGTTAGGGGGAAGATTAACCTTTCTAAATGCGGCCATGAGGCACGAGACCTTCCTGTTGTCTTGACTGTCGAGATCAGACCCGTGGTCAACCAGCAGCTTCACCACGTCCAGATGACCTCCTGGATCGTTGCATGGTGGCATGAGGCATGAGGGAGGAGGGAGAAGGATCTGAACTCAAAGTTAGCAACTACGTAAAATTCACAATTAACACTTTTTTCACGTATAATATCAGCTCTGTGTGCTTTTTAAAAATGCTTTGGATAGCCTTGCTTATAAGTGTACGTACTTCCGCTGTGGACCCATGTTATAGTTCTGTGTGAGCATGTGTGTCAGTAAGTGAGTGAGTTTGTAAGTTCACCATTGGCTGCCAGCCAGAGAGGGGAATTCCCCTTCTTGTTCTTGACGTCCACGTGTGCTCCCTCTCTCAGAATGAGGTCCACGAATCTGGACAGAGACATTTCAACACATCTACCTCTGACCTCCCACAAGTCTCAAATCTACATACATTACGTCCTATATACTGTATGTGTAGCTAATAGCATTGCAGAAACTCATTTTCAAATTCTCAGGCCAGCTATATCAGTACGTAAGTGCCATGCATGTTGGATGCAAGGCTGCAATGAGGACCACTGTATCTCTCTTCTCTCTCTCTCCCCCTCCCTCTCTCTCTCTTTTCTTTCCCATAACTCCTTCCTTCTCCCCTTCTTTCTATTCTCACCCCACCCCTTCTTTCCTCTCTCTCTATCTCTCTCTCTCTTCTCTTCCTTGACTCGTTCCTCTCCATCTCTCCCTCCCTCCCTCCCTCCCTCTCTCTCACCTGTAGTGTCCCTTGTCAGCAGCTATGGTAAGAGCTGTGTCTCTTGAGCTAGGTACCGGGGCAGCATTCACATCAGCCCCCTTATTAATGAGCACCCTCCCCACCTCATGGTAACCACCCGATGCTGCTTCCATGAGAGGAGTTAGTCCAGTCTAGTGGGTAGGGAGGGGGAAAGGGGTTAAAATTACTGTTTACTGATCTAGGGGTTAAAATCCAAAAATAGTACATATACACTATTAATCAGTTGACCTTTGCCCTGTGCTCTACATTAGCTTGTCTCTCAACCAGTAGACTGACGACTTCGTGTCTGCCCTGGAAGCAGGCCAGAGTCAGAGCCGTGTTTCTGTTAGTCTCAATCTGGAGGAGGGAGATAGAGGGAAAGGTAAATCAAGATAGGGGAAAATAAACATTTAGAGCAAGATAGGGAGATAGGGGAAAATAAATATTTAGAGCAAGATAGGGAGATAGGGGAAAATAAATATTTAGAGCACGATAGGGGAAAATAAACATTTAGAGCAAGATAGGGAGATAGGGGAAAATAAATATTTAGAGCAAGATAGGGGAAAATAAACATTTAGAGCAAGATAGGGAGATAGGGGAAAATAAACATTTAGAGCAAGATAGGGAGATAGGGGAAAATAAACATTTAGAGCAAGATAGGGAGATAGGGGAAAATAAACATTTAGAGCAAGATAGGGAGATAGGGGAAAATAAATATTTAGAGCAAGATAGAGGGAAAATAAACATTTAGAGCAAGATAGAGGGGAAAATAAATATTTAGAGCAAGATAGGGTGAAAGGATAAAGTATGGAGAGAGATTTGGGGAAAGACAAAATGTTGAGAGAGAGAGAGATAGAGAGAAATACAAAGACTGGAGCAGTCATTTAGGAAGCTCCTGTTCCCCTAGAAAGGCACCCTGTTACGTACGGTGAGCATAATATGCATGCAGTGAACTGCCTGTACTGAACCTGTGCATTGATGTCGCTGCCCATGTCCAGGAGGAGCTTGACGGTAGCCGTGTGTCCGTTCATGGCCGCCAGCATCAGTGGAGTTATCCCCAACTTACTCCCAGTTCTGGAGAGAGGTAGAGAGGGAGAGAGAGGTAGAGAGAGAGAGAGAGAGAGAGAGAGAGGGAGAGAGAGAGGGAGAGAGAGAGAGAGGTAGAGAGAGAGAGAGAGAGGGAGAGAGAGAGGGAGAGAGAGAGGGAGAGAGAGAGAGAGAGCCCTTTTAGAAAGGAAACTCTGAAATGAGGACATGTTATTTCGCCCCAAGAACTAACTACCCCCTGAAATAAGGACACCTCACTAATATGGACACTTTCTTCTGTCCCATAATGGTGTGTGTCCAGAGTAGATTAAAATCCCAAAACGACTTCACAATCCCCTAACTTCCTCTGGAGTGAAATTCCCTAGCTATAAGAGTACTACTGCATACAGACCTGGAGTTGATATCAGCCCCAGCCCTCAGCAGCATCTTGATGATGGTGACATAACCTCCGGAGGCTGCCAGTGACAGCGGGGTGTAGTCTGACACGTTGCGGTGCTCAAAGTTGGCCCCCTTGGCCAGCAGTATCTCCACAACCTGAGGCACACAATACTTCTTGGTAGTAGCACGAGACGGCAGCAAACAATGGTATAAAAGCCTCATACATACGTAGTAAGTTATACAGTGTAATACACATAGAGCACAGGGAACACTGGTATATATATATAATACACGTCATGGTAGACAGTGCAATACACATAGAGCACAGGGAACACTGGTATATATATATATACACGTCATGGTAGACAGTGCAATACACATAGAGCACAGGGAACACTGGTATATATATAATACACGTCATGGTAGACAGTGCAATACACATAGAGCACAGGGAACACTGGTATATATATAATACACGTCATGGTAGACAGTGCAATACACATAGAGCACAGGGAACACTGGTATATATATATAATACACGTCATGGTAGACAGTGCAATACACATAGAGCACAGGGAACACTGGTATATATATATAATACACGTCATGGTAGACAGTGCAATACACATAGAGCACAGGGAACACTGGTATATATATATAATACACGTCATGGTAGACAGTGCAATACACATAGAGCACAGGGAACACTGGTATATATATATAATACACGTCATGGTAGACAGTGCAATACACACGTACGCATGCAACCTTATCCCACACAACAAAGTTGCATACATCATGCGCTGAAGATATCGGCAGTTACAAGAAATGGAAATACTAAAAGAGAGACAGAATGCGGATGTACATATATACTAGAGATGTGAGCAGGGAAAGAAACAGCAGAGATATGAATGGGTGTACATACCTCTTGTCTTCCTCCAGAGCAGGCAAGAGAGAGAGCGGTGTCTTTTGTTCTGTCAGACTGGGCCTCAATGTCGGCCGCGTGGTCGAGGAGAATAGCAGCCACCACCGCGTGACCTGCGTGTAGAGAGAGAGAGAGAGACATGGGGAGAAGAAACAGGACTTGAACTTTATATTCTAGCAAGAAGAGGAGAACCAGAGAGAGAGAGTAGTTGCCCGCTCTTACTCTTTTAGTAGCTCATTTATCATTTTTAGCCTGAGGAGGGCAGTACCACTGTACAATGTATTTGTAGTGCACTTTGGCAGGTTTTTCCCTACGTACTGTCAGTCATCCTCCCTTTTTGTGTAATGGTTTTTCTTCCACTCTCAGAGTTTTTTATTTTAATTCGTATCTCTGCTCTTCTAATCTCTTCTCTCTCCTCTCTCTCTCCTCTCTCTCTCTCTCCCTCCTCTCTCTCTCCTTCTTCCTCTCTCTCTTCTCTCTCTCTTCTCTCTCTCTTCTCTCTCCTCTCTCTCTTCTCTCCTCTTCTCTCTCTCTCTTTCTCTCTCTTCTCTCTCCTCGCTCTCTCTCTTCTCTAGAGCAGTGTAGAGAGTTCATCCTCTCGAGAGAGAGAGACCGACCTGCGCTGGCTGCCAGAATGAGAGGTGTGCATCCTTTCTTGTCACGGTGTTCGATATTTGCTCCGTGAGATATCAGCAGCTCAACCAGCTCATCGTGTCCACCTACACATAGGGAGAGGAGCACAAGCAACTAAAAAATTCCTCGAATCAAAAACTGTGGAATATCAGTGTAAGATTTAGAGCATCAATATTCTCTGTCACACACAAAAAATGAAGTAAGGTTTTCCTTCAGTTGTTGCTTATTAGCATATATATACATAGCAAGCTTGTGAATAAAAACTGGTTTAAGCTAAGCTCTAGTTTAAAGTTTCAGATTTTGCTCCATACAAGTTTAAAAGTTTAGTTTTGCTCATACATGTGCATGTGTTGAGTAATGCAGCCACGTATGTAAATGCTGGTACAGATAAACATTCTTTAAAAAGGTTCGATTAATTAAAGCGTGGAAGAGTGAATTACACATCTCGGACATATCTATCTAACCGGCAGCTGCGAGAGTGAGAGCGGTGTCGTGGTTTGAGTCTGTCTGTTGGTCGATCTCTATGGCCGGGTCGTAGGAACCGGGCGGCAGACCAATCTCCTGGGCCAGGTAGGAGGTGTCACTTCCCTCCTCGTCCTCCAAGTCATCCTCCTCGCTACTGAGGTAGCTCTCGTTCTCCACCGTCGGCACGTAGCCCGACGGGAGGGGGAGCTGGGGGAGAAGAGGAGGAAGAGAAGAGAGGAAGAAAAAAGGGACGTATTTGTCACAATTTCCATGCATGCAGCACCAACTGTGTATATATGAGCTAGAAGGTGTTGTTCAAATGTACAATGCCCATTTATGGACTCTGTGTACCTGGACCTACTATTTATGTGGAGTATATACTGCTCCACACACATAGTAGTGGGTTGGTTAGCTAGCTTAGTCTCACAGGCCAGACCTCTATGTTCAGGGCCCATCTCATACTTAAAACTTCGTCACAAGATTGATCAATTCCAAAATTTATGTTCTTATACTTATTGTACAGCCACAAGCCACAACTGGGGACAATGACTATTGGAAATTGTACAGAGTATCAAAATTTCAGTTTCTCAGTTATAGTTGGCTTCGTGTGTTATTTCATCAGCTATATCCTATTCAGTGTGTGTTGTTGTGTGAATATTATGTTTGGCGACTCACTGTGTGGAGAGAAGTGCTCATTAAGCAGTGTTTTGTGCATGTCAGTCGCATTTGTCCTTTTGTACATCACACTTATGGTGTTGCATGTGTGTGGCTTGTGCACTTTGAGATGATATTTACAACTTGTTTGTCACTCTCGTTTGCTAATCCCCAACTGACTGTGATTCACCTAATGAGAGTCAGTATTCACAGAGTGACTTTCCTCAATGGTATTTGCTGTGGCGTTATTTTGGTCTTGAATAACATTTACCACCCTATCTCCCTCAGTCACTCCCACTTTTTCCCACCTAGTGACAGGTGTGGCGAAGAAACGTTTGGTCATCGGAATGCGTCAGTTTATTACCACCAAGAAAACACCTCATATATAAGCCCATGGCTTGCTAGGGTTAAAACGAGACTGCTCTTGCACGCAATTTAACCCCTAGAAAAGGACACCTTCACAATTTTAATACACATGTATGCTCAATTTCTTCTGTCCCATTAGTGTATGAATTAAAGGGGTTCCAATGTTATCTGATTGCCATTACCTCATCTTACCATAAGTGAATAGCCTGTTCCCAGTGACAGGAACATCTCTGAGAGTACCCACATGGTTGAGAACAGCCACATTATGTCCATTGCTCAGTAGGTAGTGGACAAATGATCTGATGTAGAACGTCTCGCTGCAGTTTCCTATGCCTATAATATAGTGAGAGAGAGAGGTTCCAGCTTCCACAGAGTTCAGCTGCAATTCCACACCCCCACTCCCATACAAGTTCTCTGTACAGTAGTGTGTGTGTTGGATGACTTGGATATTAAAAAACAAATTCCTGCCCGTCTTCAGCAAGAACAGGCTTTCCTCAAAGCAATAGCATATCATACCTCACAACCACACAAGGTTTCTAATGTGTAAAGGTCACGATACACAATGCAACTCTATGAGATTAAGAGTGCCTGCTGGTTAATCACGTGTTCTGCCCCAGCAGCTCAGTTGGTAAAGCGCTCTGCCTAGACTGCACTGTACACATGTATGTAACCATCAAGTCTCTGTGTAGACTGACGAGCAGTGAGTGAGAGCCAACGAGTAGCCACTTCTCCCCAGACTCAGTGGTGCAGTCACCATCATTACCAGCAGGACAACAGTCTTCCTGGACCACTACACCTGGTAGACTCTGTGAGGGGAAACGGAGCAGAGGCAAACAGTGGGAGAGGGAGGGGGGAACAAATGAGCACAGCAGGAGCGCCTGCTGTTAATCACGTGTTCTGCCCCAGTAGCTCAGTTGGTAGAGCGCTCTGCCTAGACTGCAGAGTGTCGTGGGTTCCAGTCCCACCCAGGGCAGCTATTTTTTCCTTTGTTAAAAAGCATTGTCTGGCGTGTCGTTTTAACACCTCACTTATGACTCGTGCTCAACAACAGGAAACATCGATAGCTACCTGTAGTCTCCAGTATCTCCTGGACAGTCTGTCTTCTCCGAGACACGTGTTCCTAACCACAACCAGACTAGAGTACTCCCTCTCCTGAAACACAATAGCAACACACACTAATCCTCATATCTAACGACCAACAATGACACATTAAGTTACGTTGTAAGTAGTGCATTTTCTTATCCTCGGGACAAAAACATGTATGTTTTCTCAAATGCCGAGATTCAATATTTTTTCACACGAAAATAATTTTACAAGGTATATGGACAAGCAAACACAAGGCCTCGAAAAGCAGCTCACGCGAGAGTTGAAAAAACTAAAATGCACAGTAGAGACCATGTCCTATTCTGGTAAGCCTGGTTCACAATATACTGTATGTCACAGTCACAGAGAGTCAAACAGAACACACTCTTCACAGAATTACTGGTGATTCACATAACGATAACTGTTGCGACATGTTGTGAACCGCTCTTAACAGTGAGTATATTATATTCTAACATAAGAATAAGAGATTTCTCACCATGTCCAGAGCCACAGTTGAGAGCTGTTCAAGAATTGACAGTCTGTATTCCTGCTGCAGGGATTCATCTTCCTCCTTCTCTTCTACCAGTGGTTTTACCTGCATATATATATATATCAAACACAAAACTCTTTGGAGTGTACATCCTGCCACCCTGTACATATCATATAAGCAATTGGTAACGTGTGTGGGGTATTCCATTTAAAGCCAACCTGATATTATATGTATGTACATAATGCATGGTGCAAAGAAATTGTAATGGTACTTTTGCAAAATTGCTTCTAAGAAATGATAGCAGCAAGCATGCAAACTCAACGAGCTTGAAATATTAATCCTCCCTTTCCTTTGCAGATATATCTATAATTATGACACACAATGGACGTGGCACATACCTCATCATGTGTCCTTCTCTCAGTCCTCGGTGGGTGACCACCGTTAACTGCTTGGAGATATCTCTGGCCATTCTTTTCAGCCTCTCTCTCTCCTCCCTCTTTTCCCTCAGCCTCTCCCTCTCTCTCTCTGACGACACTCTCTCTCCAACTGCTTCCATCGTTCGTGCTCTGACCTGATGAACGAGTGTGAGTGAAATGTACAAGTTGCCCAGGGTAACGACACAGCAGCCACTTAGTAAACACGATGTGAGTTACTACTAAACAACGTTTTCTGATAAACTGTTGTTAACCCTCATGCGTGCAGGCGAGGGTTATTGCAGTCGGTCTGTGTGTGTGTGTGTGTCTGTCCGTCTATCCACCGCTTTTCTCGGTAACCGCGGCAACTCTGCATGAAACGTGGACATATTATCCAGTAGGAGGCATGCATGGTAAAATAAGATTCTGGAGGGGAGAAGGCCGGGGAAGCTGGTGAAACGGATGGCTGCCGAGGTGAGTGTGCATCAAATAGAGATCGCGGACGATCGCTGTTGTTAGATGCTAGATGCTTTGCGCGTGTGGTGAATATTTACTGGTCTGATGGTACAGTTGAGTAGGATCGAGATTGCCGGTGAAGTGAGAGCAGCACACGCCCCAGTGAATCCGTTCAGTGAAGGTTATGTACTGTCAAGTGCTTCTCACTTTGCTGTAGTATAACTAGTATTGAACAGCATGTGCAAAAAATGTGGACCAAGATCATTGGAATAAAGTGGCGAGGGTTATGCATTTTCAATTGCTTTTCATTTTGGAAAGAAAATGCGACTGCAAAATTTCAGTTGTTTTACTTCAACTACTGTAACAATCCCTCTCCCTCCGACAATAAGTCCACACTCACCTCAGATTCAGCAGCTGCAACTTCCTCAGGTCCTCCAGTTTATCAAGCCACTCCCCCTCGTTAGAGGCCCTCCATTTTCCCTTTGGGACAATCTCCTTTCCCTCTTACTCCTTGGCTTTTCTGTGGCAACTCTGTCGTTCTCTCTGCTGCGGGGCATCACTGTAGTCGCCGGCAGAGAATCTCTGGGTCAGGGTTCGTCATGTAAATTTTAATGAGCTTGCATATTATACCTTACAACCACACAAGGTTTCTAATGTGTAAAGGCCACGATACACAATGCAACTCTATGAGATTATTGAGGACTAGGAACGCCGCCAGCGACGAGAGCATGACGACATCCTCTTCCTCCTCCTCCATGCAGCCTCCTCGATCCCCGCCGCAGCTAG